AACTTGCAGTTTCTCAAGTCACTCCTGATGTGGGAAAAATAACCCTGTTCTTAATTATGAGTTATTTGTAACTCAGATGTTTGTAAATTGGGGGCTGGTGTTTTATGGAAATCGTTTGATTATTGCTGCTTTGTATTTCAGCATGGAAAAATAAAGTAATATGCAGTGTATCTAATGGAGTTGTTCCTCACTTTCTTAAAAGCAGAACAGATACTTCTACTCCCCCCTCCCTTCATCACTGTAGCCTTTTTTTTTAAAAGACTTCATAGATGACATGCAGTTCTCCCAGAACACATCTTAAAGGAGATTATAAAATGCACACATGCATGCACAGACACAAACACAAGTTGCTATGGTTTCTTTCACTCACTTGTGAACCACAGGATATACATATGTGTGACAGCTCCCTCGAGGGGTTAGTCTTTCGTTCAGGAATTAGAAAAGCATACAAAGGATTTATATTGCAAATCCAATGCATAGATCCTCAGGAGAAAGTTCCATTGTGTTCAAAAGTGATTCCTCTCGTTTGAAATATGCATAGGATATGACCAAATTTTAGTAACAGAAATGAATGAAACTGGCTGGGTGGGAAAGCAAAGAGAGGTGCAGTTAAGAAGAAGTAAGCTGCAATAATTTTAAAGATAAATGCTAATAGGTTTTGATGCACTGAAAACTATGCAGCAAAGCAAGAAACTCAGCAGTGTTGTTGCCTTCCATGTCAATGGGACTGTACATTTGCAGACTTCAGGACCAGGTTTTTCTCTGAAAAGAGTAATAGGTTCAGCAGCTAGGATACTTCTTTCAAAGTCTGGGCTAACATTCAAAAAATCCAACTGAAACCAGAACTTTGTGATTATAGAACAAATGGAGAAATATGCACTATATATGAGAGAAATATGCACTGATGGCTGCCAGACTGCTGTATATGCAGAAATGGAAGGATGATCCTATTACATGAAGATTGGTTAATGACATCGTATGATCCTGCAGAGATGGATAAATTGTTCAGTAGTTTTAAAATGAGATGCCTTTTGAGGGCTCATTGGGTGAAATGATCAACATTTTTTGGAAAATTGATATTCATAACCATTGGAAAATGGCATTCATAGCCATTTGGGAAGACCAGGAACCCAACAACCCAAGACCAAGAATCTTTTGGAAAGGTGTGACCTTGTTAGAGATCTTAACCTTTTGTAAACTTTGATCTTCCTGAGGAGAGTTAAAAACTCACTTGAGTCAACCTTCTCCTTAGTGGTAAATATCCACCAGTATTCATGCAAGGCAATTAGGTTTCTCAGTTGCTAGACTGATATACCCAGATGTCTCTTTGAACTGTTAGGAACAAAGATATGTCAATGTACAAAAAGCATATAGCAGAGTTTCAGAAGAGTTATTTCAGTTGCCCAAAAAACATCTACTCTCCCTTAAAACATCTTGGTTTAAATCATGCTCTCAAGGGACCAAAAATAAAGTAGCCTTCATTAAAAGTAACATAGGAGGTTTACTCAACATACAGGTATATTGCATATCAATCCAGTTACAGATAGGTTTTGAAATAGTTTCTCTGTGCAGATAAGACAGGGCATCATTCTTATAATCAACAGTCCAAAGTCTAAAGCATCTCTCCAGTCTGAGAGTCTAAGACCCGTCGCAAACTAGGCTCCTGCGGGAGCAAACTGTGCCAGCACGTCCCTGACGTCATGAGACTCCGCCTCTCTCCCCGCCCCTTTCTCTGCCTCTTTCTCCGTGCCAGAGTGGTTTTTCCTTTGCTAGGGCAGCATTGCCAGCGTACTCTTGTTGTTGAATTCTGTCAACAACGAGAGTATGCTGGCAATGCTGCCCTAGCAAAGGAAAAACCACTCTGGCACGGAGAAAGAGGCGGAGAAAGGGGCGGAGAGAGAGGCGCAGTCTCATGACGTCAGGGACGTGCTGGCACAGTTTGCTCCCGCAGGAGGCTAGTTTGCGGCGGCTCTAATACAGGCATGGGCAAACTAAGGCTCGGGGGGCGGATGCTGCCTCCTGGGCACTTACCTCAGCCCCCCCTCATCTTTCCTATCCTCTTGGCATAAGGATGAGGTAGCCCACCACATCCTTATGCAGAAAGAATGGGGAAGGAAGGCATGCAGCAATTGAGAGCCCGCTGGAACTCTCTCAGATATCACCTGTCTCGTCCTACTCCTGGCATAATGCCAAGAGGACAGTCCAAAGAGTGAGGGGGAAGTACTGCAGAACAGGACTGAGGCAGTTGCTGCAAGTCTCGTTTTCCTCCTGGCATAAGGATGGGGTGAGCAGCCCCATCCTTATGCCAGGAGGACAACCTGAGGATGGCCTAGCCTTGGCCTCACCCCCTGCCCCAACCTCTTGTCTGCTTGAGGCAAGTGTGAATGTTGCAATTGGCCACCTTGATTAGCACTGAATGGCTTTGCAGCTTCAAAGCCTTGCTGCCACCAGCCTGGGGGAATCCTTTGTTAGGAGGTGTTAGCTGGCCCTGATTGTTTTACGTCTGGAATTCCCCAGTTTTCTGAGCATTGTTCATTATTTACTGCCTGATTTTAAAGTTTTTTTAATGCTGGTAGCCACATTTGTTTCATTTTTATGGTTTCGTCCTTTCTGTTGAAATTGCCCATATGCTTGTGGATTTCAGTGGCTTCTTTGTGTAGTCTGACATGGTAGTTGTGAGAGTGGTCCAGGCTTTCTATGTTCTCAAATGATATGCTGTGTCCAGGTTGGTTCATCAGTGTTCTTTCTCCCACCCTGGACATTCCACAGATATATAAACCCCACTTGCCTAGTTTCCAACAGACCTCACAACCTCTGAGGATGCCTGCCATAGATGTGGGCAAAACGTCAGGAGAGAATGCTTCTGGAACATGGCCATACAGTCTGGAAAACTCACAGCAACCTTGCCAAAACTTTGTTTTTGCGGGACTTCCTGCGGCACATTTTGCTATAATTTTGCAAGGAATATCTCCTAGAGTTTCAACCAATTCAACATAGTCTGTGGCAGCCACAAAAATGAAGTTTCTGGAGTAGAACAACTACTTTCAAAGTAAGCACTGCACTGAACGGGTCGGAAGGAAACTGAAATAACACTTACAACCCAGGAACAAAAAATGTTTCAAATTTTGTTACATAGTGTCATTTATTTATTTATTTATTTACAGCATTTATATTCCATCCTTCTCATCCCGAAAGGGACTCAGGGTGGATTACGATGTACATATACATAGCAAACATTCAATGCCATAGACCAGGGGTCCTCAAACTACGGCCTGAGGGCTGGATATGGCCCTCCAAGGTCATTTACCTGGCCCTCACTCAGGGTCAACCTAAGTCTAAAACGACTTGAAAGCACAGAGCAACAACAACAATCCTATCTCATCAGCCAAAGCAGGTCCACACTTCCCATTGAAATACTAATTATTTTATATTTGTTAAAATTGATCTTCATTTTAATTATTGTATTGTTTTTTTTAGTGTTTTTTGCACTAGAAATATGATATGTGCATAGGAATTTCATTACTTTTTTTCAAATTATAATCCGGCCCGCCAACAATTTCAGAGACTGTGACCTGGCCCTTTGTTTAAAAAGTTTGAGGATGCCTGCCATAGGCACTAGGCCTGGGTAACAACGGAAAAATTTGTTTCTAAACTCGATTCGTTTTTAGGGGGTTTTTGCGTTTCGATTTTTAAAAGAATTCCGAAATTTTCCTTAAATTTTTTTCGATATTTACGAAATGGTAAAAAAATTACAAAACAATAACGAAACAATAACGAATCGATTAGTTAATGGCGGCCGCGATCGCGCAATCCGCTAAAAAAACTTCTGAAGCTTCCCTCTCCCTCTGTTGTTGACTGTTGGTGTGATATTATATTTTTTTTTCACTAATTAAGAAAAAACAACTATAAAACTTGCCCCAGACATGCGGAAATAATAACGAAACGACCTCAAACCAATAACGAAACGAATACATAACGAAATACGAAGCATTTACGAAACGAATTGAAAAATTCGTTTCGTTTTTAAGTTGCTCCAGAATGGTTCGTTATCGCTTCGTTAACAAAAAAATAACGAATTTTTAACGAATTACGAATTAACGAAACGAAACCGCCCAGCCCTAATAGGCACACAACATATATAGATAGACACACAGAGACTATCTAACTTTCCAGCTTTCATGAGGGTGTTCTGGCCACCAGGGGAGCTGTCGCTTCACCGTCCATTGGAGACACTGATAGAATACTTCCTTATTCTTTACTCGCTTGCTTGCTGGAGATTTTATGGTATCGTAAAATAGTTAAGTTAGCTTCCCCGCATAAGTGGTACCTAAATTTCCTACTTGACAGATGCAGCTATCTTTCGGGCTGCAAAGGTCGACAGCAAGCTACACAATAGTCGGAAGCTCACTCCGACCCGGGCTGGCTTTGAACTCATGACCTTTCAGTCAGTAGTGATCTTAATGGAGCTGAGTCCCAACCAGCTCTTCAACTGAGATGGCCCCGTGCGACAGAATGGTGGAAGTTGTAGTTTCCTGAGGCAACAGCACTCTTTACCATAGAAGACAAAAGACCTTGTGAAACTACAACGCCTCAGGATTCCATGTGCGGTTGATGTCAAGCTGCCTTAATTCTGCAGTGGAGATGCACACACCCCGATTTTAAACTATGAGTTTACACTGGCCTTTTACTTCTATGAATGAGTTTCATGTGTTTTGATGTTATGGGACTCCTAATCTTATGCGCTTTAATGGTTTGATGTGGGTACCCCGCCTCGAGGCTTGAGGAAACGCGGGCAAGGAAGGCTACAACGTGCTCCTATGGATGACATCCCTGCCTTTGGGTTGTTATTCCCTTTGTTGTGATCCCCATCTCCCTCCCTCCCTCCCTCCCTGCCTGCCTCCCACCCACACACTCCTTGGCTCGCCTTGCCTTGCCTTGCCTTGCCCTGGCCAGCCTCCTCCTCCTCCTCCTCCTCTTTCTCTTTCTCCGCCTCTCTGGCTTCTCCTGCCGCCGCCTTCTGCGGCACTAGCCGGGTCCTCAGCCCGCGCTTCCCTTCCCCTCAAGCGGGGTCTCCCAAAAGCGGGACGAACGCGCTTTAACTCGCCAGCCAGCCCGCCAGCCCTTGGGGTTCTGTCTGCCTTCAGTCAACTCTGCCTGGGAGCTGGGCGCACTGAGGTAAGCGGGAGGATTTGCTTCCCCAACTCCTTCTCTCTCTTTTTCTCCTCTCCTTTCTTTCTTGGGGTCGAGGCAAAGAGAAGGGGGAGACCTCTCTCTTTTCTTTCATCCACTGCCCTGGCTCCTTGCAGTGGGGATTCCCAGGAGTTGTAGTTTGACAACCCTTCTCTGCCAAACTACAGGATCCAGGCTTCCTCTTTCCTAAACTTAGGGTGCATATTCTACACTATGGGATTGATGCAGTTTTGAGGTCAATTCCACTGCTGTGGGGGTCCTGGGAGTTGTAGCTTGGCAAAGGTCTCCAGCCTCCTCTGCCCAAAAGTGTTGCTGCCTCCCCAAACTACAGCTCCCATGATTTGTATAGCAATTCAAAGAGGTATCCAAATGCATGCCTTTCGATTCCTAAACGTAGGGTGCATCTACACCAGGCATGGGCAAACTTGCGCTCTTCAATTATTTTGGACTTTAGTTCCCATCATTCCTAACGGCCTCAGGTCCCTTCCTTTTCCCCTCTCCTTTCTTCCTTGGGGTTGAGGCAAAGAGGGGGGAAAGACCTCTCTTTTCTTTGATCCACTTCCCTGGCTCCATGCAATGGGAATTCCCAGGACTTGTAGTTTGACAACCCTTCTTTGCCAAACTACAGCTCCTAGGATCTCTTAGCATAGATCCATCCTTCCCCTTCCTTTCCTAAACTTAGGGTGCATATTCTACACTGTGGTATTGATGCAGTTTTGAGGCCACTTCCACTGCTGTGGGGGACCTGGGAGTTGTAGCTTGGCAAAGGTCTCCAGCCTCCTCTGCCCAAAAGTGCTGCTGCCTCCCCAAACTACAGCTCCCATGATTTGTATTGCAATTCAATGAGGTATCTGAATGTATCCCTTTCGATTCCTAAACTTAGGGTGCATCTACACCAGGCATGGGCAAACTTAGGCCCTCCAGGTGTTTGGAGTTTCAACTCCCATCATTCCTAACAACCTCAGGCCCCTTCCTTTTCTCTCTCAGCTGCTTAAGCATCAATGCCATACTGTAGATCAGGCATGGGCAAGCTGGGTGTTTGGAACTTCAACTCCCAGCTTAAGCAGCTGAGGGAGAAAAGGACAGGGCTGAAGGCTGTTAGGAATTATGGGAGTTGAAGTCCAAAACACCTGGAGGGCCCAAGTTTGCCCATGCCTGATGTACACTGTGGGATTGATTGAGTTTTGACACCACTTTAACGGCCATGGGCCAAGGCTATGCAATCCCAGGAGTTGTAGTTTTACAAGGTGTTCAGCCTCCTCTGCCAAAGAGTGCTGGTGCCTCCCCAAACTACAGTGCTATTGATCCATCTTTTCTCTTTCCTTTTTAAAACATAAGGTGTGTCTGCACTGTAGGGTTTATGCAGTTTTAACACTGCTTTGACATCAATGGCTCCATACTATGGGATCCTGGGAGCTTAAGTTTTACAAGATCCAGAGAAATACGAGGAGGGCAGAATTGCACCAGTAGGCTTCCTTGGGAAGCTTCTTTCTCTTCCCAGCTTTTAAGGCTCAGATCTGGAAATCCTTGTTCAGTTTTTCCATCAGTCTGATGATGGAATTAAAGGCAGAAAAAAAGAAATGGGAGCCTAGCCAGGAATCAGAAGCTACCAGTCGACACTTTAAACATCCAAACAAAACTCAACACTCTAAGCTAAATCTGCAAAGGGATCTGCTTTCCTTGTAGCTCTTTTGAAACTGACAAACCAAAGTTGGTGGCGTAGGTTTGCATAGATGCATCTGTGGAATGAGATGTGGATAAATAAAGCATAATATTTACACAAAATAATTCAATAAAAACATATGGAAATAATAACATTAGGTAATAAAGGGAATAGATTGGGCTTGAAATAACTCAGGGTGCATCTGCACTGTAGAATTAATGTAGTTTAATTGGCACCACTACTCAATTCTGTATAATCATGGGATTTGTAGTTTTGGGGAAGCACCAGCACTCAAATCAAGAAAAAGCTTCATGAGCACCATCACTCCTGTTTATGTCCCCCCAGCAACAGCAAGAGTATCCCGCTGGGCAGCTAAACCAGGGGATCCCAATTGAGTGCCCCCCCCCATGAGGGTCTTCCTCCAGGGGCAAACCAAGAATGGGCCACTTGGAAGTCCCCAAACAGACTCAAAGCAGAGTGGGCAGATCAAAAGACAACTTAGCAAAATGGCACTATCTGAAAGAATCCCCCACCTTGTGTGACTGTGGAGCAGAACAGACAACTCTGAATCTGTATGCTTGTCTGCTATGCCCTGCCTCATGTACAGAGGAAGAATTGTTGGAGGCTACAGACAATGCCATTGCTGTTGCCCGTTTTTGGTCAAAAGGTAGTTAGCCACTTGTGCTCCTTCTATTTTTATCAGTTTTATACTAATTTATGCAATGCTTTTGATACAAAATAAATAAATAATACCAGTACTCTTTGGCAGAGAGGCTAAATACCTTGTAAAACTAAAACTCTCGTGGTTTCATAGCATTGCTTTATGATAATTAAAGTAGTGTTGTACAGCATTAATCCTACAGTGTATATCAGGCATGGGCAAACTTCAGCCCTCCAGGTGTCTTGGACTCCAACTCCCACCATTTCTAACAGGGTGTTAGGAATTGTGGGAGTTGAAGTCCAAAACACCTGAAAGGCCGAAGTTTGCCCATGCCTGATGTAGATCCACTCGTAATTTCAGGTGCTTCCCTTTGTATACTGGTGTTCCAGACTGTTAACAGGCTTATGAGGTTGAATTGTCCCACCAAAATAAATCAAGGAAAGGCAGCTCTGTCATGTAAATCTGATTAACAGGTGTAATGATTGTTTTCAGCCTACTAAAAAAAACCATTTGAGTAAGACATATCAGGAAATGGGATGCATGGTGCCCATTAGAAAGAATACTGTTGCCATCTTTGTAATTCCAATTTAATTTAATGCCTCACCTCTCTTTACTCTTCAGAGATAATTGAACGTTTGTTTGGTGATTGTTGAAAGTATGGACTTTCCACTCTTCCGGAAATAAAGCCCAGAGGATTAGTGGATCTAATCTGTGTTACTGACTTTGATAGCATGCCAGATGAAATAAAAGGCGAATAAACAGAGTAACATTGATTTCTGCTTTCACATTACCACTTAACATTATGCCTCAAGAAGTCTAGAGATGATATATGCCTTCTTAGCAGTGTTTACTAAACCTGGGTAAATACGTTCTGTGGTCTGGTGTAACCATTTGAAATAACTGGAAGTATTTTTTCACTGTGGATTCTAATAGGTCAGCTTGCACTCATTAAACATATTATATACATGGGCAACAATAGATGCTATAAATTTCAATGGGACACAATTAAACATATAAATATTGCAGTCCTAACCCCCTTTCTAGAAATTTAGTCTCCTAGAATTAATAAGCAGATCACTCTTCTACATCAGTGTGGACATACAGAACAAGTGCTTATTTTTGACAAGATTGAACCCTAATTAAAAAAAAATGCAGACAAACAAAACAAGAATACTTTTATGTTGATTTCAGTTAAGAGGGTGAGTCGAGCTGTCATCTCCAATTGAAATGCATGAGACATACCATCTATTCTGTGCACCTTCATGCAAGAATTAGTCCAGTATAATTTAGTAGATGTGTTTCCAGATAGAGAAGTGTTTATTATAAAGGGTTTATTGTACTGTGTTTAAACTGTATTTATGTTTTACATGGGTGGCCATGGCCTAGCTGTGAGAGATAGGTTGCCATGGTGACAAGGCAGAAGAGAAGGTGGGCGGAGCTTAAGGAAAAAGGTTTGAAAGTAACAGTTAATAGTCAGTCAGGAGGATGAGACCCTGAGAAGAGGAGCGGAGTCAGTTAGGGCTCTGTGTGGTGAAGCAGTATAAATTCAGTTAGTTCTTAGCATTTGTGAATATTTCTTCAGCAAGGGAGCTGAAGGTGAAACCTTGTTAGATTGCTTGTGTTAAAAAGAATCTAACAAAGGGGGTTTTAGGGATCCCAGTAGTGAAAGACTGGAGATCGGTGGTTTGATCCGGTATAGGACAAACAGAGTGAATATTCACAACAGGGAACACTGAAATAATAAAGTACTTCACTGAAGAAGGAGTTTAAAGGATTGTAACATCAGAAGCCTGAATGTATCTCTACCAAGCCATATTGTAACCATCAAGCTTGTGCCAAGTTCAACATCTTAGTATTGCAACAATTACGCTCTGTTAACAATAAACTTGTTCTCTCTGTGTTATAAATCTGCCTCCTCCATTGATTTTACATTTGGTGCAATCCACTCTACCAAAGTTGCCTCACAACGCAGATAGGGATAAACAGAGACTTCAATTCCAACGTCTCTATATATATAATGGTGGCGGTGTAATCAAGCAGTTTTGGGACTTCCTTATAATTTATGCTGAAATTAGGTGGATTAACATACATATTTACGTAATTTTGGTAATCCCATTTAGGTGGGATTACGCTTCTTTACAGGTGCATAGCCAGGATGGAAATCAAGTAGCCTTCCAGATTTTGGATTGCAACTTCCATACTTTTCCACAATTAGTTATGCTGGCTTGGGCTACTGAGAGTATGAAACATCAGTTGGGCCCCATGATTCCCACTCTACTTCTCTAAATATTAGGACAAGAATGTATAACACAGTGATACAGCAATGGTATTTTATCTTGAAACATCCTAAGTACAGGTTGAGTATCCCTTATCCAAAACGCTTCAGACAAGACATTTTTTTCAAATTTCAGATTGGTTCCAGATTTTGGAATACCAGTATTTGCATATACAGTAGAGTCTCACTTATCCAACCTTTGCTCATCCAATGTTCTGTATTATCCAACGCAGTCTGCCTCCCGCCCAGATCCACAGCTGTTTCAATACATTGCATTGTTTTGATGCTAAATTCGTAAATACAGTAATTACTACATAACATTACCATGCATTGAACTGCTTTTTCTGTTGATTTGTTGTAAAACATGATGTTTTGGTGCTTAATTT